AATATTTGAAATATCAAAATAGCTCGAGTTCTCCTACTGGTAATACGGTTGCCAAAGTTCGTAGTATCAAGATGTTCGACAATCTTACCTAAGTATTCACAATCTTATCGATAATACTTAAAACACTGTGGTATTTAAAGTCGGTATTGCACAGAGCAGTCTGAACATGGGACCTGGGAATTTAGAAGTGTATGGTACTCAGAGATATCTATAAAAGACGTTTTGTTAATAGAAATCAATAAATTAATTTTTTAGATATTCCAGATACAAGAATGAAAATAGTATTTATAAGTTTATTTTAAGTTTATGCATGCTTAAAATCACAGAAGAGCAAATCACTAAATGACTAAACAATTCGACCATTTCACTGTTTTCTCTGATACTCTGTCTTTCAAATGACAAGTTTTATGCATTGTAAGCGCAAATGAATTAAATTTGAAATATTTAAATACTCATCATTTATATCTATGTCGGAGGCGGAACGAAATCCTTCATCATCGGACCCGTAGGAGTTTGATCGGCGACGTTCTCCTCCATCGGATCACCCCCTTAGCACTCAGGCGATGCACAAAACTCTACGCAAACACAACGCTCGACCTTGTAGACCACGCAACACTAGACACGTCAACGAGCCCACGGGCTTGACAGAATGTTCGCGTACACGTATTTACATTTTCTCTCTCCGTACCCACAAAAAAACGACTTTTCTCGGAGCTGGTGTTCTCTCTACCGTAGTCGAAACTATTCTGACGCCCGTGGTCACGTTCAACAGGGTCCCAGCCCATTTTCTTTCAAGGGACCCCATCTCGCATCTCCTTTTGTGCCGCGCGCGAAGAGGGGTAAGAACGGTAAACGGGGACTGTTTTATTGCCCCTTCGCAGGGCAATTACTAAGGTACGTCCAACCTCCAGACTCCAAACTATCCTATGGTCAACGTATAAACTAAATGCCTAAATTGTTATTTTACAACTAGACTTAATCCTACACAGACGTGTAATGCCAAAAGTTTACAAATGTTTTTGTAGAATAATCGCGCCCCGACATGTATGAATTTTTTAAATTACATTATTAAACAAACGTCTCTTCCGTTAATCAAAGTATCGAAATATTAAATGAAAAATGAGATAAAATAATTGAATAAACAATAATCTTTCTCAGTCCAGTAATTAAATTTCTCGTCAGCTTACGTACCATTACGAATTAAAATCATTAATTTTCCACATTACAGTAATTACGTATTAACTGACTATATCCCATCGATCACGATAAACACCATAAATCACTAATTCAAAGATCACCAGTTCAGATCACACTGTGGAAAACCGATGCATTATGTATAATGGCGGACAATGCTAGGACCTTTCGAACTGTTTCTCATCGACTGTGCGTAAGGAAAGTATACATACATAGATCACGCGGACGGTGAACGAGCGAAGAAACGAGCTTTCGCTCCGATAGGAATCAATGAGACGTAAAGGTTCCCGCTTGAGACAACGAATAAGAATGGAGGTAACGGCGGTGTATATAATTACAACATCGCAAACGGTATTATGTATAATATGTATACATACTTACACAATACGGATAAGTTACATTATTTACATATAGAGACAGCAGATAGACGTTATAGTTTCGTGTTAATATACAATACATATTTGTATAATATGCTATATGTATATTATATAAACATTATAATACTTATAAAGTTACGTTCGTTTTTTAAATCTTTTAAAACCTCTTACAGTGTTTCTTTCTTCTCACGTTTCAGTGCGTATACAGTCGCGTTCACGAGATTTTATAATATTTTCCTCAACGTGGGCCCTCCGTTTATATAACATTTTTTGTTTCGTCGTGATGTGCCGCCATTTGTGTACGTATGTATTTGTTAAACCCTAAAACAGTACTCCTTATTCCTACAAATGTCACGCGACATTCGCCGAGGCATCTGTTGAGCCACAATAGATATGAATAATGCGTGTCTCACGACCGTCTATTACATATACATTCGCGTGTTTCGGTTTACATCTAGAATCCTGTCTCGCCACGTATAAAAACCTTACGAAAATAGTTGCTCTATCATAAAATCCCGCAGCTTCTTACGACGTCACCATTTTACAGCTTTTTTTTGTCCGGTTTTGTTTCTTTACAAAGGGTCAGAGTGTGAATGGTTTCACGTGTTGTTTAAGTTACAAGCAACGAGGACTGCGAGCCTCCGTGAAAATCCTACTGTTTTCCTTAGCCCCGCCCCGCGCGTCGTCACAGAAACGCCCTGACACGTCTCTGACGACCGCGACTTCCGAATCCCCTTGTGATCCCGCGGATGCCGTATGATTCTCGCGGGCAACAAATCGTTGCCGATTCGACGGAGTGTGTGTCCCTCTGAATATCGAGGAAAAATGCCTACGGTAAAATTCCCCGACAAAAGTCTCGCGAAATGGTCGACGAAACTTTCGCCGAACCCGTCAGCATGGAACGGAACAGGCACACGGGTCCCCACGTTCGTTTTCGATCCGGCCAATCGACGTGAGTGTGGATCTGGTTGAAAAAACACGGCACAAACGTTAATTCAACCGATCGAGTCTGAGACTAGAATACGGCGTCAATACGAACGGGATTGGTAAAGAAGGAGGGGCTAGGAGAAGAAAGACCGCCCTAATCGTCCAATACCCGTTCATCTGTCGAGAGCACCGGCCAGTAGCGCAGCGCGACGTTGCAGCGGGGCGGCTCAGGCGTCTCCCTCCGTTCAACCAGGCCACGCCCTGCGCATGCGCGCTGCGGTCCCAGTCTCGGTCGGCCAAAGTGCACATTCTGGATCGCTTTTCCGAAGCCATCCTCTTCGCGACATGGAATCCATTTGAATCCGAGTCGAACGTAGACCGGTCGATGCAGTACAAATACTTGACAATCATGCAACACGAGGTTGTCCCATGCCGAGGGATCGATCGCAACAATCGCGACTAGACGCGTATATGTATGCGTGTATATTAGTTCCTTTTTCTTTCTCTACGGATTCAATCGGTGAGATCGAGTTCTAAAAAAATACGCACGCGCGCGCGTGGAAACTATGGTCGCCGAGAATCCGAGCCTCTTTGCGAGCAGCGGCCGATCTTGGCGGCCAGTATTGCCACCGGCACGTAATCCATGGTCTCTGAACTAGCTCGTGACAGGAGTTTAACTCCCCCTGGAGCGTGAAAAGGTCGTTATTGTCGCCAGTGACCGCGTTAATTCGTCGCACATGCAATCGATTGAGTATAATTCGAGACAAAACGGTAAGTCGGTCACTTCCGCCTTTCTCCGAGTAGGGGGAGGGTGGGCATAGGTGCGAGCCGGGGGGTGTGACGGGATCGTGGGAAGAGGGGGCGGGTGGTGGAGCGGAGAGGAGGCAACGTTGATAACGCGGCAAAGACGAAAGCGCGTGATGAATTGTTATTATAGGCGTACGTAATATGTATGGCACCTTAAGAAATCCCAAAAAAGACTAGATCGTCTAACGTTCCGATAAGAAAATATATATGTGTATATTACTTGTTGGAGCCGACTGTGCTACGATAAGTACAAGTAGAATACCTATTGATCTGTTTCTCTCTCTCTCTTTCTCTCTCTCTCTCTCTCTCTCTCTCTCTCTCTCTCGTGTGTGTGTGCGGATGTAACCGTGTTCGATCGGGGTGTTCGATCAACCGATCTCTGTCTCGCGCGTGATATACCCGTCTCTTTCGCTTGCCTGCTCCGACTCTTATTTTTTTTATCACGCTCTCGGTGCCGGCGCGGTTTGTGAAGGTAACATTAGGTGTTATACAATTACTGTCACTTGAAAATCGCAGCATGCAATGTATGGATGTAAGTTTTCTGTGCGGTTACGTAACCTAAGGATCTAACAAGTCGTAATTGGGCACGAAATCGTTTTCGTTCTTCCCCGTAGGAATCAGAATTCTGTGTCATCGGAAACCCAGATGGTTCCTTCGAATACCGCGGGGTAACCCTATCGCACGGAGAACACCGTAGAGCCGTGTGGGTGTTGCGCACTCAGCTGCTCAAGGATTAATTATACCGGCGGTACATTGGCGAGTATCGCGCGCAACTAATTGTGTCTCGTGGCATTGGACCTGTGTTTATGTGTGTGTGTGTGTGTGTGTGTGTGTGTGTGTACGTGTACATGTACGTATACCGTCGAGAGACAACAAGATGCTCGAACCTACCGTCGCAGCCTAACCACTCAACGTACGCGTCTTCGTTTCGCCACTCATGCGGCAGGTATCCCCTAACCATTCCCCCTGATTCACCCCCCCGAATTCCTCAACTCGCCGCTGTCATACATCCCGCTAATTACAAACTGTCAAACTCGGTCCCTTTGTTCGTGGATTCCTTACGAATCTAGAAATATGCTCGTTGGAAAAAAGATAATAATAATAAGTAGCAAGAAGCCTCGGGTGTACCCAAGGGAAATCCCTTCCAGTCGAAGTGGATAGGTCCGCGAGGTCCCCGACGGAGGCACGTCCGCCAGGGCCCGGATATGTCGGAGCAGCAAGGGATCCATGACAACGGCGAGCCGAAAGCTACAAAATCGCCCAGGCCTTACTTACAGTCGCTTAACCAAATACAGTATTTTTTGTGTTGTTGTTCTTATGCGATGAATACAAAATGACGGATCCGTGAAACGTTGCTCTCGCGTTAACGTCGACAACAATGGTTAACCGGTGGGCGACCGACAAACGGTCGAGACTGGCCCCGCGCGTTCGTATTTGGATACGATCGCGAGCGGAAAAAACTGTTGGTTGCTTGACCTCTTTTTTTTTTCTTGCTTTCTTCCCTTCCGAACAACGGTGCCGCCGTCGGACCACCCCCCACCCCCCTGTAATCAACGATCATCCCGATCCGAGTAGACAATCGGTTGCGGTGACCTTGGAACACCTCGGACCGGCTCGCGTGAAACCCGTTCCGGGCAGCCAGCCTCGGAATACCCGAATATCAAAATCTTCCACGACAGAAACACCCTCTGTAATTTAAACGCCAGTGTGATTGAATATGTAAGAGACGTTGCTGTCCTGGTGAACAGGCGGTCCGTGGCAGGCGCGTCTCGTCGACGAGTTGTTGTTGTTCACGTAGTAGGAGGATTTCCTCATGCTCGTCGATGAGGACATTATGGCGACCGTCTCGTAGTACCTGATCTTGCCGCAGCAACGTCCGCTCTTCATGATCGCGACGAAGCCACGGCGGTATTTCTTGTTGAAGAACGCATAGAGGATCGGATTGATGCACGAGTTGCTAGCGCCCAGCCATTGCGCAATCGGCGTGGCGATCGGCAGGATTTCGTCCTCCTGCTCGGCCACGTCACCGCCTAGCTTGATCACCGTGAAGATCACGTAAAGCGGCAACCACGAGAGGACGAACAGTATCACGACCACGACCAACATCTTGACGACCTTCACTTTCGATTTCTGCTGTATCCTCTCCATCTGAGCGTCTTTCGTGTCCGTCGGTATATGCCTACGCCAGACCTTGATCCAAATCAGGATGTAACAGAGGGAGATGAGGATCGTGGGAAGAACGTAGCAGAGTGTCAGATTGCCGATCAGAAAGAATAGGGTTCCGTCTTCCGGACGGGGCCACACCTCCAGGCACAGTCTCAGGTCTGGATCGTCGTCGTAGATGGCGACCAGGTCGAAGAACAGCAACCACGGGGATGTGGTCGTGAGGGCGATGAACCAGATCACGACTATCATCAACCTGGCCCGCCTTTTCGTGATCTGGCATTTTAGCGGCCACCAGATTGCCAGAAACCTGAAAACGGGAATATTGATGTTACCACTGGAGGAATATTTGTCGTTGATAGAATTTGTACTGCGATTCTAGGTTAGAGGATTTCTGAGATGAGTGTAGGACATGTTTAACCCTTGTGCACTGTTCGATAAATTGTTGCTGTTCCTTGAATTAAACTTGGTCTAAGCTCAAATCCAAATAAGGAAATATACTTACAGATACTTTTTATCGTTATATGTGTAAAGTACTTCTGTCAAATTATTTTACAAATTTTTCTTCTAGAGAATAAAATTAAAAATTATGGTCTGACTGTGGGTTAATCTATATAAAAGGTTAAGCACCAATTAAATGTTTTGGCACTGAAATTTGAAAAAATTCAAAATGTGAATTTACTCATTTTGGCCTGCGAACGGCTCAGATACGAACCTATCGTAAGTTGGCAACGCGACATAACGCTCAGCGACCAACCAACTGTTCAGTGGGATTGTTTATTAATCAGGAAAGCACGGAGTGATTTTACGATCCAGGAGTATGGGCACGAGTTATGGGTAAACACCTACGCAGCGACGGGATCGCGCGGCACAAAAAGGTAACCGTTTTCTTTTTATGCCTTCATTATGGAAACGCGTGTTCTGTTCGTGATTTCGAAAGAGACTCCACAACCGTTCCGCATCGACGGACACAGGAGTCGCGTACGAGCGGTTACGGCGAGGTCTCCTTAGCGCGACGCAATGGCGACTCGACATTCCCGTATCGTCGGTTAGAAGGCAAGTCCGTTGCCAGCGTGCGCTTGCACCGATAAGGTGTTGTTCATAAAGAATTTATTAAGCAATATTTCCCCGCTGGATCCGAATGGAATCTCGGTACAGAAACTTCGTCGCATTCTTATCTTTAGGGTTGATGAAAACGTTGGAAAATCCAACGGAGAACCTTATATGCAAATACCTAAACTGTTTTTCATAATAATTTCTTACAAACAGCTACCTTCAACTAAAACCTTCGCAACACTACTTACGGTGGATGACCTTGACAAAATATTGCAAAATCCTGGAAATCAGAAGTGGCTCCCTTATTGTAAATATTTACCGCAATCCGATCCGATTCACCCTCAAAGAACATCGTCCCCCAGTTACCCCAAGTGTCGACAGACACATCAGAAAATTAAACATCCCTGTATCCGAATATCTCCTCACGAGGCAGCAGGGAAGCGACAACGCGGACGTGTATCAAAGGAACGAAATGAGAAAGACGCTTTTCCGACAGCTGTCCGTTAATTACCACGGTTCTCGGTAACTCGTCCTCCAGGCATTAAACGGCACCGTGTTAGGGTCCTGGCACGATCGAGGGAACGTTCCAAGACCATTAGCAACAGGACTTTTTCTTTTCCAAGTCACCGAAGGTCCCAGCTGTCGCGTTCTCCCTCGCGAGCGCGTTGTGTGACGCGTTTCTTTTTAATCAAAGCTTCGTGTCCTTCGATCATAACATGAACGACGGGGGAAACGTCATGTCGCCTGTCCGCAGCGGCGCAAACTCCTTCTATAAATCAACGGGGAGAACGATACCGATCTTGCCTGAGTGCCACCACTTCCGAGTCTGGGTCTAACGCTGTAACCGTTTCTTTGTTTTGCATATTTATGAACCGACGGAGTCACACCGTCGAAGATGCTTGGCAGGGAAGGACGAAAAGATAAAAAAATCGGTCGATTCGCGGACACGGGATTATCGGTAACGATCAAGGCTACGTCACGGTTCTCCCGTAGACGGTCGCGGTAAACAATGAAGATGACACACAGACCTCTCTGCGCCCCTCTGGTACATATATGTATATAAAGAGTTCGATTTCTGTAGCGGCAATAGCAGTATCCATTTGAGTCCCCATCGTGTTTGCGAACGGAAAAGCCGATAAAACGTTTAACATGTTCAAGCTGGCAAGTATATCTCGTATACGTATCCTATGCGGCGATTACTTACGGGCTGGTCTCTCTTGTGGGATTTGGTGCGCGGACGCGACGTGACTGGGAAAAGTTTCGGTATGCGTGTGATTATGGAATGGAATTTCATAAATCTCTGTTTCCGTTTTATGGCTGGTAGAGATTTAGGGGAAATTTCATTTCCTGGAGCGGTCGCGTGCTTTGGGGTTGGTGTTTATTGTTCGTATCGGGGAATTTCTGTTTTGTTCCGTCGAATGGATGAGATGTGATTTAATGAAAGTTTATTGGCTTTAATTGTAGATTCTTATTTATATGCATGTGCGTTGTGTCATGAAAGACTGATGGTCTTGTGGATCATTAACAATAGAACTACCAAAGCAGTCAACATTGCTGGTTTGTAAACTGTTGTAAAAATTGTTAGAATATAATGATAGTGTACTTTCTGAGTATTTTCGCAATTTTTGTTGTGATATACGAGTGCAGTATGTAGGGTACAGCGTGTTAAGGACTGTTACAAAGAACGAACGACCTCGATACAGAAAGAACTTTGGTGAAATGCTTCGCTTCGAGTCTTGAGCAGAAAACGATTCCCACAAAAAGAAGGGTATGGTTTCATACACAGGATGTATAATCGTACAAAACAGAATTGACTTGCAAATCAAAGATCTGAATCTCTGATACTATATTTTTTCAAATGTACACTTTAGATTTTCTTGTCCCACTGCATAATATCAATGAAAAGAAAATACAAATTGGTTACCCTAAGTATTTACAATGCAGGTCTAGAATTTATAGAAGTATACGTAGTTTTAACAAGCTGCTTCAAAATTCAATGTACCTATTTAACATTTAACGTGAATATTAACGTGAAGATACGACTTACAAACTTTAAGGGAAGTTGAATATGCCTGTGAATCATTCTCGTTACTAATTTTCTTGACGAATTAGAGACAATGAAATCGGAAATTATTGCAGTAAATGTATTCTGCGGGTCATACTAATCAATTCGTTCATTCAATGTTGAAATTACTAAAAAGCGCACAGCCTACAATCAATTATATTCCTATTGAAATACCATTATATAATGCAGTCATTATTCACCTTGTGCTACAAATTGATTTTTTTTTCGAATGTGATCTTACTCCCTCCAAAAATCCTGCATCTGCCCCTGAGTAAAGGGTTATTTACTATTATTTAAGAAATACTGTTTCTGTTGCCACAGTTTTAGCGACACTTGACCTAGCAATTTTAATCAACCCTGTACAACTCTCAATTGTGCACAGATTCTTTTACTGGCCGTAGCCGTAATGACGGTATCATCCGCACCAGCTCCAGTACCACCAGTGTACACCCACCCGTTGGTCTACCCGCAACCCTACGTGAAGGTTCTACCACTGCACCCAGGGACGGTTCCACTGTCTTACAGTCACGGCTACAAATGGCTTCATCCGGGCTCTGTGTACCTCTACTAACTATAAGCCCTCCAAGGCTCATCCACGTACAACAAACCCCCATCCCCTAAAGGTGACACGCTAGCACGCCGAACAGTTTTTTTGTACCGTCCCGGAATGCGTTTGAAATAAAGCATGCGGCAGCGACTGCAGTCGAATCGAATTTGTTCCTTCCATTTGCCGGCTAACTCGTACCGTTTGTACCCGGTCTCGACGTCTTTTATGCCGTGCAGTAAAATCCTCGAGGCAGTTGGCAACGGCTGGAAACCGTCGTAGTCTCGCTGGGACACATCCACGATAGACGGAATGGCACAAGACCTGATATGGGAGCGCCTCGTACCCGGAACAGACAGCGGTTGCTCGTGGACTGGGATATTCATGCCGGGGTGTGGGAGGGTCTCGTTCGAGTAGCGCCGTTTATACGGCCGTCTGCATACATCCAAAACGGCGCAGACATTCGTCTGTTTGCGCTCGCGATAACAGGAGTGTCGTTACACGTGCGCACTGTTTCTTACGTCGCATCGAGGATCCGCGGTTGTTTTTAGGGTGAATGTTCGCGGATCGTGATATTTTCTTCGCTAAAAAAGTGGAACTTTTGTTTTCTTATTGAAAACTTTGAAATTATATGACTTATTCGCTATACAAGATGTAATTATACATAGTGGAGTTGTACATAAACATTACAAATTTATACATTTTTTTCGGGGGATAGGAATACTGTAGGGCTTACTATAAAAATATTCTTTTCTGGAAGACACTTCTGAATTAAAGAGTACTGCGAGATGAAGTCTTGTCGCGATAGAGTCACGATGATCTAGTTGGTAGTATTTTTCATCCAAATCTCGTAATCATGAGTGATTCCCACAAAATTCAGGGATTCAGTTGGAACCTGTATGTCAGTAGTTAACATTAGTATTCTTCAACGATCACTGACGACAATTATGCACACCTAAACGTAGACCTTTAAGTAACACTGAACTTATCACCTAAGTTTACAAGATACTACTATTTCAGGATGAGGGTGTAAAAACAATAAAGATCGGTAAAAGTACTCAGATATTTTTTTTTTTAAATAAAATTTTATTAAAATTCCATATGACCAAAAAAGAGGGGTCCTGGATGATGGTGCAAATGAATGAATGTCCGAATCACATTGATGATCGAAAAGTCGCGAATGCACAGAAGGTAAAGTAACGAGCCGGTGTCCGGAATGTTCCGTGTTATCCAATGCCTGGACGTTATCGTCGCGATGGAGAGAATCCAGGTGGAAGTAGCATAGTTTCTTGTTGTGATCTTTGCGTTTTTGTTCCTCGAGCTGCGTTCCTTCCCTCGTTCTTCAGTTTTTAGGGGAGTCTTGGGGGCGGGAAGACGATTTATGAGGAATAAGGGGGTATTTTTTCTAGGGGCGGGGGGGAGGTGGGTTGTCTCGTCGTGAGCTGGTGGTTGTAAGAATAGAATCGTCGTTCGTTTAATGCAGGCCATGAACGGAGAGGAGAGGCAGGGGAGCGGCGGTCAGCACGGACTTGGTGACGATCGGGGCGGTGCGGACGATGGGGGAGACGGGCTGGGCAATCACGTGGGCGGCAGCCAAAGGAGCGGAGTGGCCGATAACCAAGGGAGCGGTGATCGGGCCGATTCCATGGTCGGCTACGATTCCGGTAAGACCACCAGGAGCGGCGGCAGCGACAGCCAGGATGGCGGCGAGAACGGCCTGTGGGAATATCACCATTTGCAACTTAGCACCAAACCGTGACCACCTTCACAGTATCCCTGCTCTCTGATCCACTTCACGGTTAAATCGTCCTAGCGTACAGTCGTGTCTCGTCGTTCTATAATACCGTATGTCCCGAGTACTTTGGGCGGAAGCTTCGTGAAATTTTCCCACGGGACTATTAATCTTCGAACGATTAACGTTTTAGGGGCCGAATGGCTGTCTGGTCTTATCCACTTTGCTTCGGTAGATACAATCTTCATTCGGATCAACAACCAATGTTCTCGTATTATGGAATAAAAATGTCGGAAAAAAGTACTGCAATACAGGGGAAATCGAGTGTTCGAGGGAACAGGCGTTAGGTAATGAAGCTGGTACTGATATTGGTCTCATGGACATATTAATAGAAACAACAAAAAAGCTTCTGCAAACCATCGTATGTACTTTTCACAACAATTCTATTACCTTACAAGAAAGCAAATACCATAGAAGTCATTATAAGCTAGAAAATGATGTTATGACAGCGTGTCTCACTCAATGACTATGGACGGAAAATAACGTATCGAGAAAGGGAAACGCGAGTCCTTCGATAGATGGAAAAACGAGATCTGTATAGCGATAGAGTGACAGGTGAACCTATCATCCGTTGGTGGGTATATTAACAACCACGTGAACGTTTCAAAGGCGCGAGGGGGTAGAAGGGGGAATCAGTGCGCCACGGCACCGGGATATCGCGTGTCGAGGATGCAAAGCATGTGGCGTTGATGCAATGGGAAAACAGGGTCCCGGTTTAGCGCGAACGGGACCATAGAAAGAGAAAAGCGTGTGTGCTTGGAGCTGCATTCCACTTTGTCCGGCAAGCGTTTGCCGTTTGACTCGACCGACCAGGCCCGATGGTTGGCTAACAATATACATGCTCCAGTGGTTTCGCTCGCTCGCGATTTTTGTGACCGGATGGAAACTCGGTGTCCATTCAAGTGAACGTAAGGGTCTGTAAGGCGGGCGTGCATACGGCTCTCTAGCCGCGATCGGCGGAAAGGTCACAGTGCGAAGAGAACCGCGTTACTTTTCTTTCCAGGCGGCGGGGATCGACGCCTTGTCCGATCGAGCGAAGTTATCGAAGGTGAGGGAATTTTTACGACGTTCACGGCATTTACGATGATTAACGCGCCGCTAATCGAAGAGTCTGCGAGGCTATGATATTGCGTAGATATATTTTGTTCACGGGGGAATGAAAATATCGTTGTTTGCACCGGAGGATCGGTATACTGAATTATGGACTGAGTTTAGTATCGGTATGGCGAAATGAAATGGAAACTGTTACATGCTACAGAGGCGGTGGGTTAGAATTTTCCGAAATGGAATTTAAATGTCGCGGTATTATCGTGATTGGGTAGATATGCAGTAGATCGGTCAATTAATAATAATTGTTGCGGTATGCAAAACATATCCACGCTGGGAAAACTATTCGTGTATGTACAGAAATGTAATAGGACCGTAGATGTAACATAATATACTTTCAAGTAACAATGACTGTCTCTATTGTTGATCAGTTTCTACCTCGTTCTCCGGATCACGAATATCTATAAAGCTGAACAATCGTGCCAGGAACTTATCGAACCAATGATCAACGAACTCGCAAAAGCCACAGGCTTATCAGCGACTGACCTAATGTCACGAGCTATTAAATCTAATAAACTTGTATCCAGGTATTCGTAGTCGAGTGTACGATCACGTATCTACCGTAAATGCACTGTAGGTCGTACCGTCAGCGTTTCACCAGTCAGTTTTCCGTGGAACAAGTAAATTTTCCAACAAAAATACAGTGAATAAAGTAAGTAAGTCCTTCTTACCAACTTGAACATGTTGATTGGTTGTGGTAGGTTGCTTGGTTTACTTCTCGAAAGTAAGAAAGCTTGTGCTGGATGTACCAGCCGGCGGACCTTTTATACGAACGTTGATTTTAAAAAATCGCGATAAATTTGATCACGTGGCCCTCCGTTTGACAGTCTGACGTTATGCGTCGGTCGGTTGAGTCAGCCGATCGGCGCACGTGGTGGGGTGCTCTCAGGCCAATCAACAGGCAGTAACGACGTGAAACGTCGTCGTGGCTGCCAATCGCGCGCTTTCAACCCCTCAATGTTCTGGTACCGGGGAATTGGGTTAAGACACTTTATGTGGAAATAGTTCAATCGCTCGCCGCCCGCCGATACATGGACTGGACGATCTATGTGTGCCTGTGTGTATGTGGGTGACACACAGAGCGTGTCTAGGGTAAATACAGAGCGTGAGCGAGCGAAAAATAACGGGTGACCGGGCACACGCGCTCTAAATGGAAACTCATTTCGTAAAAACGCGTCCCACCAAGGTCTTCCTTCCGCGGTGGCCCTGCTCTTCGATGAACAACAAGCGACGATAGGTGCGACTAGATGTGTCTTTCATTATGGAACTTGTATAAACCGAAAAATAACATTTATAGAACCGATATAGAACTGATATAAAGTTAAAAAGTAACAGTTGTAGGACTGATTTGGAACTAAAAAATAGCAGTTACGGAATCGATACGGAACCAATATGAGCGAGAATCGTTATATCCATAACAGTTGGAACATTATTTCGGTTCTCATAACTATTTCAATCAGGATTGATATATAACAGTTTGAAACAGTTATTTTCGGAACCGTTTTAACCCCTAAGTATACACACCCATTCTGGTCCGTATGTACAAGCGATCCGACTCTCGGATTCCATCGCGGACCCAACCGGGGAAAAGTTATGGAAATCGAACCGCGTTACGTGCCGCCGAAACTCGATGCCCACGGAAGCGCGATGTAACCGGCCCCCGTCCCGGGGTGAAAACGCGATCATTAATCCGATTTCACCGTACACTTGCGCCTGTTTGACCGAAACGGTGACTCCCCTCGGAAATTTGAGACTGAAACGTTCCGAGTTTTTTTTTCTTTTTATTTTAATTATACCGTCACGATGGAAGCCAGCGTGATATTCTCGTTACTTGCAGTTATATTGTGGTTATTTTACTCTATTATTTTTAACAATTTTAGAAGTGTAATTAATCATTTTTTGTTTGTTTAACATGTTCACCGAGGAGCCTGTTTCGGCTGACTTTCTCTTCATGGAGATTATATTATTTGATATTGGAATTTTTATTACATGACCTTTATGATTTCAATAATTGGAAAATAAAAAATTTTAAATCCGTTATTTCGGCGGGTTGGGCGGTTCTAATGATTATCGTAACTTAATCAATATGCGAAGACGTTATTAAAAGTCTTTTTCTTAACAACTGTATCAATGTTACTATCATCGAGTTTTTACGTATAGCAATGGATTATAACAAGTGAATAATTTGTAGATTTCTAACGGTAACTACCCACAGTAATCGATGTAATACAGTTTAATCGAATTGGAGGTAACTGGAGTAAAAAAAACTTCTTTGCATTCACAGTGTCCGGTACAAGAAACCTGAGATAGTTACGAGGAATTGCTTAATCACTAGGATATTTTTAAAAAACCAATTGATCACGGTCACTTAGATCCGTGAGGTCACGTAATTCCTAACAAAACATTGATCTATACGTTATGTGCAAAAACATCACTTGATACAAGGACTGGCGAGAATTAAAGGAAAGTCGTAATTATACGATAGGTGTGTAAACAGTTAGGAGAAATAGCTTTTACAATATTGAACGAAGTTTTTATGAACATTAAACACTACGGCTCGAATTATGTCTAAAAACAAAATGTTAAGTAAACTTTGTTCAATTTATTATTCATCGGAGAATCTTCTTAAATTTCTTCTTTGAAAGTAGAAGTTTACTATTGGAATCGCATAGGCGTGTTCGATAACGACACGTGCACCGAATTTAATACCAATAATCGGATGAGGATCATCCGTTTATTTTCATTAGCCCTCGCCGACCAGTGATATAATCACATTGGCAGCCCGTAGCCACACATCAACCCACATTCTGCAACCCAACGAAAGTCGTTTTCAGGACTTCCGTGTGGTCGACACACGATACCCTGCCGCCACTTGCTACGCGTCCCGTCGTTCAACTATATACCATTGTGATCCCCGTTACGACACCGCGAACGCTTCCAGATCTGGCGTAATCCGGCAAGAAACGCGACAAAGATTAAGAACACGATCTAAATCACATGGACCAAACGAGAATTGACATCATTCTTTTTTTTCTCAAGTATCATATTCGGTTCCAAGTAAATCAAATAACTTATTGGATCTGATGAAAGTTTTGTCCTTTATTGTATTTTACAGATCCCTATAGGCATTAAATGCATAAAATCTGCAGCCTACTTATCATTAATACAAGTATTTTACACGATATCAAAAAAAGGATACTGTGAAAGGGTTAAAATAAAACCCCATGAAACGTTAATATTGACCTCTGTTACCTCTGATACAGCCTTCGAACATCAAAATCTCCTGACCAAAGGAAGCAGCCCTGACAAGCTGCGCGAAGGCAGAGTCTTCTAAATTCAATTTCATCGACTTTGTCCGTGAAATCGCCGCGATAATCCTACAAACACGCGTCCTCGAAGAACGTGCTATAGCAAACCAAGGAAGTCCGCGAAGGTTTAGTGGATTTGTCTTGGTCGGTAGGTCACCTTTTGTCGAAGGTGTCCACGCGGAGGATACCAAGAAAGATGTATGTATTTCCGGTGGTGGCAATCCACCGTGGCCCGGACGGGAAAGTGGCGGCTAGGGAGAGTAATGCATCGCCAACCGGGGCGTTGATCAGAGGGTAAGACAATTCCAAGTCAACGGCGCGATCCCTTCTCGCCAGGCAATTTCACCGGGATCGATCGCTTCCGAGGGATCCTGTAAAACTATTTCACAGGGCCAGGTCCCGTCTAACGTGAAATTGAGAGGAAATCATTTATCGGCGATATCCAGTCCTATCGGCCCCCTACAGAGTGATTCCGCCCCCCCCCCTTGTGCCACCTGACGTTCTTCTGCGAATAATCTATCGGATCATCTGGCAAGAAACCTGGCCCTGGTAAGCGATACACGGTGGGCTTCGATAGCTTTTAGAGGGATCAGACTAGGACACGTTGCTGAGCCTCTTATTCTGATTTATTCCACTGATTGTAAATTTGCTAATTTAATTGTGTTATTATTCTGTACTATTGGGTCTTTTGATAGAGTGTGATGAAGCAGACGTTTTTTTTAGTTTGTTACTATAGTTGTTTTCTTCCTGAATTTTGCGTAGATATTGGGCAATCGTTTCGGAAAAGCGACATCGTCCCATATATCTACGCCAGGTCGTTCAGTCTTGCGAACAAAAAAAAGAAAGGTGAAACTCAGCCGTCTGTCATGATTGGTAACCGTGTAACGTCATATTTTATTGCGCCACAGCGAGACAATATCGTCTGAACTGTAACGGAAAAGCGACTAAACTTCTTTTCGTATACCCGACGCCTAAAACTCCTCGTCTAGGACACTTGCCGAAAGTTTCATCGCGCGTTTCAGGCTCTCAAAGGGATGATGGGCGACCTTGTTGGAGCAACCTGGTACGGGGAGGTTGGCGGTGTGTCATAGTTTGTGAAACGACGCCAGGATTTGCCAACGATGCCAAAGTTATCCGAGATGCAAAGGAACGTGGCTGAAAAAAAAAAAGTATTTCGTTCCGGGGGACGTTGTGTGCTCGCGCACGGTACCCTTTACGACTGGCAACGTGCCATACGGTTCTTCAAGATAATTAACCCCTTCGCATCGGAGGACGAGATATCTCGCCACGTGATTTCGTTTACGATATGCTTTGGACGAGATATCTTGCAACGCAATGTCTTTCATGCGATGCTATGTACAAAATATTCTTCGTAAGTTGTTCACGCAATTTTGTTATGGCTCGTAAATTGGCCAGCAATTACCTAATAGTATTTATGGTATTCGCGTCTCTTCATTTCCATTAGCTACTTAATTATAAATTATTAACATACATGCAAGTACTTCATTTAATTTCTCAACATGCCTTAACGTTCTGTTTATAATAACAAAACGAGATATATTACTTACGGACAATAATTTACCATTCGAAAATTAACCACGCTTTCCAGAAATTATAGAATGTTTATGTTGCATATTTAAAACGTTACCTTCATACAAAATTGTGTGTACACAAGCTCATTGTACAGAAAGTGTATGAACGTGTCCAAAAGTGAAATATCAAAACCCAGAACAAAGACGATGAGTCACTATAGGCCACATTTGCATCATAGTCATTAAATTTATGTTTCGATCCGTAACGCTTTCACACCTCAATTTCTTAATTTATATTACTGCATGTTCAATTTAAATTCATTTTAATGGAAATTCCGAAACGGGATATAAAATTAGAAGGTATTAATGCTGTTGCAACATTTCTCCATTTTGCCATCAATAGATTGTTAATATTGATGGTAATCGACTTTTCCTTGGATTAATTTATGAGAACGGAAATCGAAACTAGACTTTTATTACCTTGACAGGTGGCTTCAATAGTGGCTTCATTGTGAAAAAATTAATGTTTAAAATTACTTTTAGCCATTGGTACAGTAACAATTTCGATGACTAAACTAAATTCCTAAATCATTTTTAAATTGTTCCTTAAAAAAAGACTGTTTCTTCTTTCAATTACAGTAACACGAGGAACAACGCTATTCGTAGTATGATCTCATATTTCTTTGCATTTCATTTAATGGTATTTACCATAAATCAATAGAATCCACAGCGAAATCATTGGTACTTCATCCGGTGCATAATTTTCCCGACATCACCCGTATCGAAGATCCAATTCTTGTTAAGTGACTGGTTCATCGATTCGATGATGCAGTGTTCACCTTGCTCTTATTATGATGCTAATGCAGGTATCCATTGAAAGCCGCTTAGAATGTCATAATAACGTAGAAACAGGCGTGTAACCCCTAGTAATTGTTACAGCACGGAGCAGATCGGTATGCAGATGAGAAAATATACGTGACCGCGGGTGAAGAATATACAACGTTAATGATGTGTCGCAAGCGACACCGTGATTTCGCAATCCACGCAATGGGCACGTTTGTCCATTTTCTTCGTTTTCCACGAGTCGTCAAAGGATCGCGCTTAGTCATCCCCCCCCGATAAACGGGTTTACTTGAACTATCTTCGCGGTCTATTAATGCTAGAAGTATTACTGAAACAGCAGTCAGAATGACTGGTTCGTGAACTACGAATGTACGACGATCCGCGCAACGTTTCCTTATTCGTAATTTTTTTTAATACCGTATAAAAATACTAAGTATAATCGAAACCGTGTAACACAATAATTGAACATTAAATTGTAAGGAGTCTTGGAGTAACATGCATTTAAAAATGAAAATTAATTACGTTAGGCGGTTATGAAATACAAACTACTAGGTAACTCTTTCATAACTCTACATAATAGGTCAACGACATTAATATTAGGTGTATCAATGAATAACGCACTATCTCTTGACAGAATTAATATACATTTTCATTAAGGTCAAGGATCCATACTGTTCTATTTATGTTCATTATAATTTTCGAAAATTCGACACCATTTTTCTCAACTTAAAGAAATAGTTTCATATCAAAATATCATCGCCTCGTAATTAAAAAAGAATTATGAGTTACTTATCGGTACACCTGATACTAACTGCGTAACGTGGGATGGTACGAAACTTTCAGATGAAAATTTGACTTCAGAATCGCGTTGATTTAATCAGGATGGACAGATTGCGAAATTGTTAAAGGCGGCTATAGTGATCGTTCGTGTTCCCAATAATGAGCACGAATTCGTATCTCGAGTGATTGCCGGCACCTAAACCAGACCGGTATAATGGTTCTTTGAAAAGTTCAATGCACACGTACACACTACACACACATATTGAGGCACATACCTGTCCAATGAAACCGCTACAAGGCTGTAGACAGAGGCCGCCACGGAAACGCCCTGTATATAAGCGACGGCTTTGCACATGAACCATCCCAGGAACCATGCTGAAACACAAGTCCACGGTTTAACGTTTGATGCCGTGTGGTTTTTTTTAAGAGAAATAAAAACTGTATTGGTTTTCTCGCAAATGTACCCTTATGTTCGAAAAAGTTTTATAGACGTACATTCTGGGTCTATACATTGGAGACACTTGTTACTTTTTGTTACTTTTGATGTAATTGAAAGTGATTGTTGGTTATAATCGAATTATGGACGAATATTATTGGTCTATAGATTGGGGACATTTGCTGATTTTTGTTAAAAGTATTGATTATTAATAGAATTTATTTGGCATGCAAAATATACCAGGTTTCATAAAATTGAAGAATTGCAATCAGTCTATTGTTTAATAGATAGAATTAATATCAGTTTTATTGTACATTAAGCAAACTGAAATTTTCGGTTTGAATGGAGCAGATTTCATTATGCATATACATATGTATATTAAACGGTATCGATTGTCTGAGAAGTTAGCTCGAAGCATGTAAATAGGAAAAGTAGTTAAAGTACTTGTACAAAGTTATGAATAACAAATACCCGCGGTATAGTAGCTCTACAATATACGAATTAAAACTTCTGTTCAGTGTCTTCCGGTTTCATTATTGTTCTGAAACAAGGGATCATCGTTATTCAGAAACATTCACAGAAACACCTTTATCGTGTAGGAATATAATTGAATTTGATCTCTAGATTATAGATATAATATTTACGCAACTTCACAATCTTTTTACTTCTTTAAAGAAAAGTACAATAAATTAAAAAACATCAATACTTCCTCTATTCCATGGTCCATTCCGTTCAAAATAAAATAACAGAAATTGATCCCAATTTTTTTTACGTTCTGTATATTAAATTAATCCTGGAAATGCATAAACATCTGCAACTAACACTGATCTTGAACATTAGCGACATAGTCCTTCGAGCAGCAATAAGTAGACAAGTACGCGGAGACACGTGCTCAACTTAGTTGTGTAATATGATTACTTTTTAACATCATTACACTATCTACACGGGGGTTACTGTCATTTCACATAACGTGTTTCTATGCAACGCATAGTTAATCCGCGTGTTTCGCCGTTCATTTACTATCCTTCGAACACATTGCGTTAGAAAGTCACGCTTGTCCATTAGTGAGTCACCGATATAGCCGATCGCAGATTTTCGAGGTAATATTATACCTCGGAGGGCATTCAGCTGTGGAGACTGCAAAATGGTGAACATTGTGTTACTTATTACGTTAACTGGATAATAACAATCATTTTCAAATATCTGCAATATGGTGTACAACAGAAACGTTATACGTATACAGGAACAGAAGGGGTAGCATTATAATTTTGCGTATTACTTTGTTCTGTCAGTAGTAACAATAATTACGAAACTGTGGATGTTTATGCCAACCGACTATTTTAAACAGTAAAGTCCCTATCTATGTTGTAGACATTGTTGAGAAAAGAACAAAACTGCAAGGGGAGTTGTTAATGGAATATTTTAACCTACGATTGGCGATTTGTACACAAATTTTTATTACAAGCACGATAAATAAATTCCGAATGTTTATCGTAATCAGCGATTGGTAACCGATTGTGCCGCCTCGCAGGATCGTACCACCGAAAGTAGATATTGTGCGAAGTGAAGGGGTGAACGCGAGGCCACCTAGAAAGGAACTTCCCGTGCGGACCGTAGATCAACCGTTGCGCGAATAATTATTTATTCCACCGAATACGTAACTCCCAGACACCGATAAGACGCATTGCGTACTTGAAAATCCACGTTTGCGGAATAATAATTCGAAACGAAGGTGTGTGCGCTCGCATTCGGTCGTTTGTCGACGTATGGAACCGAAAACTGGCGTTACGGTCGTTTTATCGGGCAGATAGGACAACGTGGTGCGAATGGACGAATATACAGGGTGTCCCATTTAACACTAGAACTACCAATGATAAACGCATATCTTTTTCGATCGATCGAAAAATATGGCAAACTTTTGAAAATTTTCAAAATTTATAAATTAACTAATTTCTTTGATGTCGTATCGTAAAAAAAGTTACAAAAGATCTGAGAAAATGTTCCTCCAACGAAACGTTAGAAGGATGAGTTTAGTGGTGGACGATAAGAAGGACGAATCCTTATCGAGGACGGTTTCCAAATTGTACGACACTTACTGACCCTGTGACTTGGGTCTCTCACGTAAACCACGCAGGACGTCGCACGAAGGTCCAGTATTCAGAGAAACCGGCCCATATATCAGGATCGTCTTTCAGTCGCGTGCGGGCTTACGATGCGTCCATTACCATTGAGAAAAGGTACGACTGGTCTGTATTTCGTCGCCAAATAAAATTCTTATTTTCCAGTCGCACCCAAAGTCCTCAACACTACACTACTAAACCCGTAAAAATGACAAAATTCAGATTTCTTGTTCCACAATTACTGAAATTATTAGGTTCAGTCATATGTATCTTCCGTCTTTGTTCTTAGATTATTTCATTCTTTCGTAGATGATTTACTATAATGATTTATTACAAGAAAAGTTTCTTAGCTAAAATTTAGACTAATATTTACAAAAATGTTTGTTATATTGGGTTTTATACATTCACATTTACGATAAATGTATACAATCTACAGACCAGTAATGACGATTGTTACAAGAAAAAGTTGTTTAGATACTTTGACCTTTTGTTGTATATAATTTTAAAAACATTATTTAATTTTCACTCTTGGAGTAGGTACTATCCACACTCACATGATTAACAGACTCGACAATAAACCTTTATCCGTGTCGGTGAATTTTTCCGCTGTTTTCTTCATCAACGTAATAAGAAAATGTCGCTAATAAAAATTTTTTCGCGTCCCGATTGAATGCATTGTTTTCCTTCTCGCGGACGTCCAATTCGATCAAATTACGCCTTCGCGCAGTCGCGTTCCCAGGGAATAAAATTTGTTGAAACGCAAGCGAGAGGTTATTACAGTGGTTTCACGAGTGGCTAAGAATAAATTCGTGGCGGGGGACGAAAAGGGGATTCTCGTAAATTACAGAGTGGATTCTGCGAGGGTAATAATTTACGGAGTGGATAATTTGTTTACGCGTAACGGCCGAAAGAAAGGTGTGACAGCCTTTTTCGCATTCCCCCGTCGATTAACGTGAAATACTATCGACGGTTAATGTTAAACGGCGCCCCTTCCCCAATTTTGGGGAACACTAAGCAATCTCTGTGGCCGAAAAAATAATACTGTTCTGACTTCTAACAGTTAATAACCGTCCCTACAGATTTTTGTGACCTGAAGACGAATCTGCAAACGGTTTTCCGCCAACACCCTCAGTTTTCGAGAAATTTGATTTTGAAGGAAAATGCAAATTTTCATCTTTGCACATATTCTGTATTCAACGAGGAATAGTTAGTCGGTTAATTGTTGCGTGAAATAATTCAATAAACTCTGCCGAATAAAATGATAATAAACTAAACGGAATAACTATTACTGTTTGAACACAGAAAATGTTCAAAGTTAAACATTTGGATACAGTCTACTACTTATAACTCGACTTAAACTACCGAAACAACAGCCCCAAACACCATTCTATGGGATATCGCGGCGTGTAACGAGCGATCCCCATGAAACTCGTTGTCCTATCGACTCATCGGAAAAAAAAGACGAGATGGAAGGAAGAATAACGGCGCAAGCTGTGCGCTAACGAGCCGCGAGCGAAAGGGCAAAGTCACGTTCGCCTCTAAATGTCAAAATTTTCCGATCACCGTTCCCGTGGCATGTTTCGTACGCGTTCACGTACACAATTCCACGTCTCCCCTATTACTTTCACTGTCTACGGTCCGGTGGACAGCCGGTCCTATAACGTACGCACTGTTACAACCCGAGCGAATAAAGAACGGGCGTACTGGAACGAAAAGTGTCAGAGGGAGAAAAATTGGCTGAAACAGATAATTCGTTTCTCACTTTCGTGGGGTTCTCGATGTTATCATTTTTCGAAAATTTTAACCTTTTAACGTATAATTAGTCATCTTGACTTTGAATGTTTTTTATATTTTTTATATTTTTATTTTTGTGTAGTTAATCACTTTTACAAATGAACGGCTCAATTAAAACTCTTAGGCCGCCTAATAAGTTGGCGGACCGTCCCCGTGGAACAGGTTAGCCCACAGGAAAAACGGAGAAAAAGAGGAACGATGAAATTAAGAAACACGTTCATGAGGTCGAACGAAACTGCTCACACTCATAATACCGAGTAACTTTAATTGCGAGCCTGTTACCTGGTAATTAAAACAAATCGTCGTCGTACTTAACGACCAGGCCAGGCTTTCAGGAAAACTTAATTGGCCCGGCTTCGGAAAGTTGTGGACCACTTCTCGGTCCTGATTACAGGGGGAACTGTGGATGGTACGTGTCAACGATGGCCACTACGGCCGACACCAACCTTGATGTTACTTTCGACCGTTACGTGGTGTTACGAAAGGTGTTACTTAATACGAAAATTATAGGGGATCTGTACGGATATCCGGATTACTGGTAACGAGAAATGGGTAAGATGGAGAATGTACCAGTGTATTATTGTCTATAAATTGTCTATAATTTTGACTCATTGTCGGTTAAACCGTCGTGTACTAAGACCGTCAAAATGACGGATTACAAGTTGAAACTTTAAGTGATATTACAATTTAATTCATAATATAATTTATAATTTTAAATTCTAAGAAAATTCCAAATCAGTATTTTCAATATATTTTTATAACATATAATAATTGCATTCTTCATTCAGCACAAGAACCAATCGTACAAAGAGTCCGTATTTAATGTCAGCCTAATATCATTAATTAAGCTATCGTATTTAGACAGTGGGTAAGTTGACATTTTTCCAGATATATTAAGTAATAACCGCCATTCCTTAGGATTAGATATTAGTAAACGTACGGTGCAATTAAAGATAATGTTCGACGTGTGATTGTGTAATGAAACTCAACTGTACGGAGTAAAAGTGATATTGAAAATGAGACAT